ATCGAAATATCTAGTGGGCAGGCGGCTAACAGCCCAGAACCGGTCCTTGATAGAATTGGAATCTTTATATGTGTGCAGCTTTCACCCAAGGTCCTAGGCTTCCACCGGCTAAACCGGGTGAGGTTAGTGCTCTGTAAAGCGCATGCGCAAAACTGGCTTTTCGTAATCTGAAAATACAGGAGATTCCACTCCGCCACTAATTTTCTAATATACAATAGCAATTTTTTTCCACGTGTAGTATAGAAATTTGTAATAAGATACATAATGCGGTTATAATAAAATATTGTGCGATTATTTTCATATAATTAAAATTAATATTTATTTATTTTTTAGAGAATACGAGGGAAGCGGCGCTTCCAACGCTTCTAATGACGGCACGCCACTGGTCGCTACTCACGTTGAGTCGAGCGTGCGAGATCGCTACACGAAAGTGAAAATGGCTGACGGATACGCAATTCTTATCGCTATCGAAGAGTTAAGCTTAGTTCACACTGAGCGAATAGCGAAAGCGAATGTGAAAAGCGAAAAGCGATTTTTATTCGCATAGCGAAATTGACCCTACAACCAAAACGAAAAGCGATTGCGAATTTTAAACAGCAAATCATTTGCAAGCAAGTGAAAACGTCATCTCGAAAAACAAAATGGGCGCTTCCGATATTCGGTCGTTAATCACATTTGTTTATTTATTGAGAAAGAAAAATAAGTCGAAAAGAAAACGATGCTGGGTGAGAGAAATATTAAAATCCGTAATTACAACATGTAATCCATTGCGTGAGAAAGTTTCTGTAGCCATCTTGAAAACAACAAGAACCACGTGACAACTAGCGGGAATACGATTGGTGCGAAATTTTTTCGTTAGCGAAAAAGCTGGACAGTACCGAACTTCGAAGCGATTCGCGAAAAGATAAAATTCGCCGGAAACGACGTCGTGTCTGACGTGTTATTCGCTCTGTTTTTCGCTTTCGCTAGCGAATCGCGTTCAGTGTGAACTAAGCTTTAGAAAGAACCGAAAGACGTTGTTTCAGAAAACAACGAATTTTTCAACCACGAGTAGATGCCATTTCTTTTCGTGTCCAGTCAACACTAATAAAAAATTTAATTCATAATTGATAAAATTATACAGCAAATTTTTTCAAAAATAAAAAGAAGTATCTAATTTATCGAAAAAAATTTAAATGATAGTAAATTATATGTATAAATTATTAAAAGCGTAGACACTATATATTAAGATTATTTATTAATCAGAAGTGTTAAGTTCATTGAACAATTTAAGATATAGATCAAGGAAGAAAACTGAAGAAAGGATTAAATTAAAATACTTTTTTCCATTCAACAATGGATTTTTTAGCTCCAACATGCATTTAATTTTTGAACTAATTCTTTCCACATATAGAAATGTTTTTTTCTAGTAAATTTGTCGTCAAATTTTCCACTGTTCATTTTATTATTATTCTCTATATGTGCGACTAATATGTTTTTCTGTTCTTTATTTTTTTAGATAAAACATTGGAGGCTTCCATTTTGTTTTTGTGTCCTATATCGCTATAACACAAAAGTAACTGTAACACGAACAAACTAATTAAGAAGTGATGGAATAAAAGTTGGCCATTAAGAAGTTAGTCACCAGATGTTGCCTGTACCACACCTCCTTCATAACGCTGCACCTTATAGTAATGCCAACTTCAAACTCCATCTTCCTACTGTTATGAAAACCTTACATCAAGCTACCTTGTAGCATTTATGTAGCATTATGAAGCCACCTTCTGCCTGTCTCCTCTGCACCCATTTAATGTTCACTTATCATATCTTTATAGCAGCTTGTTTATCTTGTATAATTTTAAGTATTATAACCTTTTTATATTAATACCAACTAAAGAGGGACTATTCCAATAGTCCAAAATGCATTTTGGTTATTTCATTTGGTTATTAATTACTCATCTAATCGTTTTATTAAATGTACTACATTNAAATACTTTTTTCATTACACAACGGATTTTTTAGCTCCAACACACGCCATTAATTTTTCAACTAATTCTCTCCACAAATCGAATTGTCCTTTTTTTGTGAATTCGTTGTCGAATTTTCCACTGTTCATTTTCTTATTATTTTCTATATATGTTACTAATATTTCTTTTTGTTCTTTTCGCTTATTTTTTAAAATAAAACATTGAGTGGTTCCATTTTGTTTCTGCGTACTATATTGTTATAAGACAAAACCTTTAACTGTAACACGTAAACTAATTCAAGTTGATTTGTTTACAACTTGTTACACTCGAGTTGATTGGTCGAATCAGTATAGTCGCAAACCCAGATGCATTGTAAATAATTTCATCATGCTTAACGACATACGTAACCGAGTGAGTATGATGTATTTCCGCTCGCCTTCCGAGTTCGCTCGATGGGTCTAACTGGAGACTACCTATTATGTGAGTCATAGTAACACGAGTGAGTTCGATGACGTCAATTCGAATACAACACGAAAAACTCGACTAAGGGCCCGGTTAGGAGTTGAAAGTTGAAATTTGGTACACATTTAGGGTACGTCACGAGAACGCACACTAAGAAGGGATTTTTCGAAATTTCCCTCGCGGGGGAGAAAGATAGAATTAAGGCTTTCAACAATGGAAGTGTCAATATTGGAAGTGTCAAGAGAAAGCGACGTGCAACATTTACAGGCGCAGATGCGGTTTTTTGCATTTTTGCGGGAAATCGAACATATTTTTAGACCCATGTAAAAAGTCTCTAATTAGTCTGGATTGGCTATAATGTAATTATCTTAATCTTCGCTATCGTTACTTTTTGCAACGCGAGCAACACGGGGCTTATCTGCCAGTTCTTTAATATTATTTAACAACAAACCTTGCGTACAACAGATGAAAAATTAATCATAATTTACCGACAGATCCTGAAACATTAGTACCTGATTAGTTCTTGTTCTTTCTTTAGTACTTTGGGAGTAAGCACAAAATTGCTACGTAGAACTTACTCTATTTGATGAATAACATAAACTACGTAGAACTTCTAGAACATCGTGCGACTTTGTCGTATCAGCGAAGAAAGAATTTATTCTCGCATTTATACAGAAAAGGTGATACTTATATATCCGACAAACGCGAACAGGCGAACTTTGCATTTGCCGACAAGGAAAGGTGATCCAAAAAGCAATCTCCAACGATCGCTTTGTTCTCGTGCATTGTTCGTTTTTCTCGTCTACTTTTCGTTAGGCACACGCAATGCTGTTTTTATTTTTTGCTCGCTAGGCTTAAATCTCGTGGGACTGAGAGGATTCGTGCACTCTGATGCGACTGAGAGCGTCGGAGTGCACGAACATTATCAATTTAATATCTGTGTATATCGAAAACTGTGTCGTGACCTATTTATTACATTTAAATGTATCCTCATTACATTTTCGGCAATTAATGGAAAATGGCAAAGTTTAATTAACTTCGATCGAACAGATTTTGACAACGAACGCAATTCTGTGAACCACATAGAAGAGGTTTCGCTAACTCTCCGTCTCAATTATTCGTCAAATAGTGTTCTCGTGTGGCGTGATCTACATAGCAATTTTGTTGTTACTCCCAAAACATTCTTTTACCGATTGTTTGTTACAATGCAAGGAAAGAATATATTTTTTTTGCATGGTATTTTGTATACTACAAATTTATATTTTAGCAAATAACATCAAAAATTATAGCGAAATACTTTTTTATGAAAGTCGAAATATACGTTTATAGTATTTGAAACCTAAATCTAATGCGATGAAAATTAACTTAGAAGAACTTTTTAAGGAAGGAAGAAAGAATTGATAAAATGGCTATTGAAAAATCAGTTTATTTATATTTTTGGAATATTTTCATAAGCTTTTATATATAAAACAATTTTGTTTATCAAAATAAAGTTTGTTTGAGATGCAGAAATTTTTTAAATTTTATTGTGACAGTTATTTTATTTATTCATAAAATATTTGCAGGGTGACAAGCAACGGTGCAAAGATTTCGCGATAAACGTGGACAATAAATATTGTAAAAATGCGACACAAAATATAAATAAATTAACAAATATTGTTCAAAATTTACTTTTTAATTGCATTAAAAAATTATCCCAATAAGAAGATTCGAGTGGTCAAGTAATTTTCAATTAAGTCTTAAATTTCCATGGAGATAAAACAATGATGATATGTCGTTACGAAGAATATCACATATTCGATTTTAATTCTTCAAATTTATTTGAATCAGAAGTAATAAAGAGTAAGCGTATATTGGTAATTTAATCGTGACTTAATACTTTCTTCAGTTAATCTCAATACCAAAAATATATTTAATTAGTTGAGGTCGAGTAAATCGCTCGAAACGAGTTTCGTGGCAAAAGATCACCTTGACTCTATATTAATAAACGACTTTTGAAAATATAAATATTTATTTTAAAATTGAAAAAAATCGTTTTAAAAATGTTATATCAGTCTTTTTACTTCGCCGTTTTTACTCATCAATCGATGAAAAATGCATAATGCAGATCCTTAAATGTCAGTTTATATTAATACGTCAAGTTCCGTCAAGTCACGAAAAACATTCCCAATTCTAAATTATCCTAACTTCTTCTCGACGTTTTGCCATTACAGTATTTCTTTTCTTTTTTTTTCTAATTAAGAAGAAAATTTTAAATTGGCTATAAAAATTAACTAAATAACTTTAAAAAAATGATTTAAAAATAAAAAGCAAATTCTATACAGAAATGTTTACTTCTGAGATGTTTACATCTGACCATCGAAACCTTTATATCGCGCTCAGCACTTGAAACTTCCTTCGGGTTTTAATTTCCTCCAAAGTTGCTTTTTGTTATAAAATTATAAAAACAAAATAATTTTCCAAAAATATTTCGTATTGTTTTTTAAGATCAAATATTTCATCAAAACTTATTTTGATGTTCTACTTACCTGCGAATTGCGACGTTCGTTTTAACTTGCGTAATAAAAAGTATTATAGCGAAACGGATATTTTCTCACCTATAAAAGTATGATAAATTGTATAATAAATATAACTGTTTACGTTCTCGATTAAAATCATTTTAAAAATCGCTTCTCTGACTGTAAATAAGAGAACGAAGCGGGATGAATGTATATATTCTAGTCGCAATTCTCTTAACGGGATGTCAGGTAATTTTCTGTATTTTGTTAAAAACTTATTCAAATTTCAGAATAATTTTTTGTTCTGTTACTTGACATACAAGAGTTTATTATAATTTTATAAGAGTTAAGTTTGTTAATAATGTCACGGCCTTAATTTGAAAATAACCACTTTTTAAAGCATTATAGACCTATTGTAAACATTTATAGTTTCTTATCGTTTTTGATTTCACACTGTCCTTTCTGCACACCGAAAACGTTTATGTTTAATATTTCTATAAGTATATTTTACGCATGATTTCTTTAACGTTGGTTTTAATAATTAATCGCGCAGAAAGTATTCTCTAACGCTTTATCTATATCTATATCTATATCTATATCTATAGCTATATATATAAATGGACATGTATGTCCCTATATTTCACTTTTCCGCCAAAACTACACATCGCACATGAATGGTGTTTGTATGTGGTAGTAGCCCCAAGTCTCCATTCGTGCATAGGGGTGGTTGCGTCTCGATAGCTATAAGGNTGTCACAATACAATTGCAGTGTGAAATTATGCATTTTCAGAGTTTATTAAAAAGAAAAAAAAATTTCCTGTGAACTTTGAAAAATGTAGTAAATTATGTGAAGTTTATTTGTAGTAAATTATGTGAAGTATGTTAAAAGATTTTCTAACTTCAGAAAGTAACAACTGAATTAAAATTGTTTAGTGATCCATTTTCATTTAATTATGCGGAAGCACCAGACGAATACCAGCGCGAACTCACAGAACTTCAAAGCAGGAAATCTTTGAAAACTTATCATAGAGAACATTCCCTTCTTGAATTTTATAAAGTAGTTCATTCTTTCAATGACTAATAAAATTGTCAATTTATCTAGAAAACTGTTACGCACGTGGGGCAGTACATACTGTTGTGGACAATTTTTTTTGTGCACGAAAACTTCAAAGCTTCCAAAAGAAATAGGTCGAGGATTCACAATTAACTAACATTCTTAAAATTAAGACTACTACCACAAAAGCAGATATTAACAATATTATTTATAAAAAAAATATCAAAAATAGCATTGAATTTATTTTATTTCGTGCAAGTATTTCATTTTTTTTACTGTCAGCAATATAATATTTTTTAATTATAGATATTTGTTATTAAAATTCAATATTCACATTCTGAACTTTTGAAAAGTGTATATTTATACAAATTACCTTTGTGGTCCACCAAAATATACCTAAAGTTCTAATTTGGCCCATTAAGAAAAAAGGTCGCACGACCCCGGTCCATTACGACGACTAACGAAACCCGAAGACGACTCGAAGCGGCACACGTAAATCTTATTTTTTTAAAACGGCACGGGTCATTTTTTCCGATTCTATACCGTCGATAATAAAACGGTCGGGCAACTTTTCTATAAATATTTATAAATCTTCGATTTGTTTTCTTTATTGAAATAATACGTCCACCAAATAAATATCGATTCTTTCTTTTTTTAAATAATAGCATTTTAATTTTAACTAATTATGATGTGTTATAACAGAACTGATACATAAGTAAATATATTAATACAAGAGTTGTTATAAATGATTATACTGTTCGGTCATAAATCAATTTTCAAATATCTACTAATACAGTAATAATTAGTTGGGTCTGACGCAAAGACTCGACTAATTATTAATGCTTATTTATTATATAAATAATGAAATACGAGTAAATGTCGCTTCTTTCATCTGCATTTTACTCATAAATTAAGGCAAAAAACTAGCAAACAACACAAACCGAAGAAAGACGACATTTCAATTCAATTAAAAGCAGTCATTTAATGTATTAATTTTCATAAAATGTATATGTGAAATGGGTTTCCTACAGGTGATTATTTCGTGTAAAAATTTTAAAAAATGAGGATAAAAAGTGGAAAAAAAAGAGCATTGGATGTTTAAATTAGAAATTAATTGTGTAATTTTTATACATTGAATAATATAGAAAGCTTGAATTTGAAGTAAACAAAACTTGTACGAAAGTAAACAATTTAACCCTAAACTTAGGCTTACACCATAGGTAAGTGGTCATTACGCTGGATGAAAAAGCAAATTCCCAGAATATACTCACGGGCAACATCGTTTAGTTTCTTCCTTTCTTCTTCTAACCTGTTTTTTAATTGTTCCACTTCGCGATTTAGAGTCTCAATCGATTCGTTGGGATGATCGATCTTCAACTCAGACGCCATCTTCGACGTCTCGCAATCGGGACCATAGTAGCAGACGACCGCAGGAGGCGCTAATTTTCTCTTTTTAATTTAAAACCAAAATTAAAAATAATATTTAAACTTAATTTATTTTATTCAAATTATTACCATTTAACCATTTTATTTTATCGCCTGATTAATTATTAAATAAAATTTTAGATTTAACTAATTAACTCGGAATTTATTTCTCGGGTTAGTGAAGATATGCGAAGAAATTAATTAATGAAAGTTTTTATTGTGCCCGCTCCACAAATTTATTGGTTAAGAGTCTAAAGATTCATACTCTTGGAAGCTAATACATATGGTGGTCAAACGTAGTATAATCTTGGTGGTTATTGTTTAACTCGCAGCCATCTCCTCATTATGGTCAAATCCAGCATTCTCAATTGGGCCGGATGGCAATTATGTTGGTCGAGAACGAGAGATAAATGTGGACCCGAGCCAAATTCCTTTTTTTAAACTCTTTCCGCCCTGTGGGAGCGAGTCCATTATAGGCTCACAATGGGGCGGCTGGGTGGTGAGAGACGGGTCCGACATATCCGGACATATCACCCCCAAAAGCGGCCGGATGGCCGAGCGGTCAAGGTGGCAGCCTACCGCTTCGACTGAAATAATTAAATCCTAAATATGCGGCCGGATGGCCGAGCGGTCAAGGTGGCAGCCTACCGCTCTGGGGGACCCATGTTCGAATCCGAACGGGTCGAAAAATCCCCAGGAAATTTTCGGGGGTGGTCCGTTCGAATATGTCGGGCCCCGTCCCTCACCACCCGGCAGCCCCATTGTGGGCCTGGCCGAACCCATGATGGGTTTGAAAGAGTAAAAAAACAAAAAAAAAACCACCACGAAAAGTTTTTGGGGATTTTTCGACCAGTCCGAATACGATCCCGGGTCACCCAGAGTATATTTAACTGCTCGGCCATCCGGCCGTCAAAGAAAATTAACTTCCCATGCCGGTGGCTTTCAAGCCAGGATCCTAACTAGACCACGTGAGAATACTGAGCCAAATTACTCAAGAAATATGCCGGAATCAACATAGGATTCGAATCCGGATTCCGCAATAGATAGATAGATATATTTTGTAACGATACCGTAAAATATGAGATGACAAAACGAAGCATCTATATATATAATCGAGACGGTTTGATAATAATAATAATAAGTGCAGAGCCCAAACGGGGTTCTTAGTCTCGAGTTTTTCGTGTTACAATTGCCAACGTGTTGAAGGTGTCGCGTGATACCATCTCACACTCTGACGTCAAATTGGTAGTCTCGAGTTATAACCCACGTGTTTTCCCATCTCACCATGCGAGTCGCTACCAGTGGCGTGCAGTGACATTTGATGATAGGGAAGCTGTGTTTCTATAAGAAGCCGACTTCCAGGGGCAATCAGTCAGCAATGGTCTAGGGTCCATTCGTATTCGTTTGTTCGATAAGCCAGTAAAAACCGTAGACTTCTCTAAATGTATTTTTAATTAATAGATTATCTAACGCACTTAATAAATAAGCAAGTTCAATATAATTAACTCTCTTATATTAGATTTAATAGATTCTATACGCCCTCTAAATGCCAATTCTCGCT